TAATAATTAAACAAATCTGTCACTACGTAAAATAACAAGTCGGCCACGTCGTAATACAACAAGTCTACAACATTTGTAAATCTGTGATAGATTTGCCTTAAGTCTACCGTAGGAAGAATAGATTTTCTATACAAATCGGTCATAACTCAACAAGTATGCCTTTCGAAAATAAGTCGATCGCACAAATCTGTGGTTTGATACAAATCTGTTGTGTCATCCGACAGATATATTTAAGAAATCGTTTTTTTAATACAAATCAGACAAAATATAGACAAATCTGTTGTGTCATACGATAGACATTTTTAACAACTCTGTTGTACGGCAGGGGTAATTCTGACCACGGAAACATTCTAATAATTTGAAAAAAAAATATGAGTCATTCTAGTAATATCACCATAAATTTGAGTCATTCTAATTTTCTTCCCTAGTACATATAGTGATTTCTTCATTTTTTCTGGAATTATATGCTATTATTGTTGGTTCTTAACTATCACTTTTTATTTCTTTTTGTTGTAGATTTGGGAGTCTAGACCAAATGATAAAAATGAGTAAGTTTGTTGTTTGGCTTAGCCACGAGCTGTTTTCTTGAACAAAAAAAAAGTTTGTGGCTAACATAAGCAACAAACTTAATCATTTTATTAGTTTCAAACTTTTTAAAAAATTTATATTGTCGAGTTGTCATTTTGAAACTGAGTTTACTTGTTATGATTTAAGTTTTGATATGCAACTTTTTATTACTTCATTTTGGATTGTTACTATTACTTCAGTTCTAAACCGAAGTCGAAGTGGTATGAATCGAATCCGATCCGAAATTTTATGAAACTTGAATAAGATCTAAGGCTAAATCCAAAAGTCAAAAATCTCAAAAATCCAAACCAAATCTGAGCGGATGCCTGAACCCCAACCTCTACTTTCTGAGGTAATAATATTTGATCAGCAATATTTGATTTGAAAATTAATTCTGTAATGGATAATTTATTTCATAGCCAACATTAACGACTGATCAAATTGCAATCTCCCTGACACTTGAACAACCTTCTTCAATCATACTCTTGTTTTTTCCCACTGAATTTCATTCTAGGTAAAAATTATAGAGAAGTACATTTTATTCAAGTACAAAACTACCAGATTTTAACAGCTCCACAACTGGAGAGACAAAACCCCAAAGCATGAGAACCAAAAAATTGATTTAAAGATGGTTTACTATTTGTATTTTGAATTGCTTGACACAAGTACTTATCTTATCCAGTAGTTGCAGAAAAATGATACTCGCAAATTAGTTGACTTAGCTTATTACATGCCAAATCAAATATTTTTCTTTTGAATACTTGCAAGATAAACATACAACTAGATTTTGACCTGCGCTTGAGAAACGCGAGTTTTGTTTTGGTTGTAATAAAATATATCAAATGATTCGGTTTCTAGTATATGATAGTAGTATATGTGAAATTTGATGTATATTTTACTTTTTAGTAGAGTCTTTTCATTGAGAATTATTTACTTCGGAGTCTTGTAAGAAATAATAGCTTCTCTTCCTTTTCTGATAAGATGTCACACTCCGTTGTCTCCCATTGCTATTTATGTTCTCGTTAGTCATATAAGCATCAATGATGATATCGATGAAGACATGAAAATGGGATGAAACCTAAGATGTCACACTCCGTTGTCTCCCATTGCTATTTATGTTCTCGTTAGTCATATAAGCATCAATGATGATATCGATGAAGACATGAAAATGGGATGAAACCTAAACCTAAACCTAAACCTTTATATCGTTGTCTCCCATTGTTATTTATGTTCTCGTTAGTCATATAAGAAAGAATAACTTTTAACTTATTCAAGTACAAAACTACCAGATTTTAACAGCTCCACAACTGGAGAGACAAAACCCCAAAGCATGAGAACCAAAAACATTGAGTTAAAGATGGTTTACTATTTGTATTTTGAATTGCTTGACACACACTACAAGAAATATGACTTTTAATAGCAGTAGAAGATAGCGTTTTTTGTCTTTATGCTATGGTTGACATACCCTTTAATTTTAGATAGCGTTTGTATATTTGGAAACGCTATGATAGAGTGGTATATTTAAAAACGCTATGACATCATATTTTTAATAGCATATAATTAAAAACGTTATGTTTACCTTCTTGACTCCCTAAACCCTAAACGAGATTTTAAACCCTAAACTCTAAAAAAAAACTTTAAATTCTAATATTCTAATATAAAATCTTAAATTTAACCTAAAATAGTAAATATAAACTTAAAAGTTATTTCATTTTCAAAAATTAATCTCAAATTTCAATACCTTAAACCTTTAACCTTTTACTAAACCTCTATTCTAAATTCATAACTTTAAATATAATTTAAAATAAAAAAAAAATTAAAACTTAAACAGATTTCAAATCTACACCTTGATCTCAGCTCTTTATATAAAAAGTAAAACTTTTATACTCTCAAAACTACAAACCCCTAAATTATAAAATCTTAACTATATACCTCAAGCTCTATATATCCCAAACTCTAGTTCTTATATCTAAACTTTAAATCTTATATTTAAGTTTTAAATATATTTTTCCAAACTTCAGTTTCAAATTTTAAACTAAACACTAAACTTTTATTTTATATCCAAGTATCAATCATAAAGTTTAAAATATTTTTAACAAAAAAAGTTTAAATTTTAAATTTAAATCTAAATCTAAATTTTTTTAATTGTGAATTCTAAATCTTTGATTTTGTTCTCTAAATAATTATTTATTTACGAAAATTTAACATAAATATTTTATATATTAAAAACAAATTAGAATTGGAAATGAACGGTGTTGAAAAAAATAGGAAACAAATACATAAGATTTGATTGGTCAACATAAAAGCAGCCTATCACATAAAAGCGCTCAGATCATGTTCTATGTAACCACAACCATTGATAAAAATGAATCCAACGGACCAAATGCACTAGGGTAAAAAACACACTTTCTTCTCTTTCTTCCTTTCTCTCCTCTTACCTATCTCTCAATCAATCGTGAATCTAAAGTCTCAACAACCCACACGTCAAATCCAACACCATTATCTCTGTCTCCACCTCCTCGTTCTCCACTTCTCTACCTGATTACTATTTTTCTGTTTTCTATTCTCAAAGTTTGTTCTTTTTTCAGATGCAGATAAGAAACAGTTCGGGAGGGACAAGGCGGAAGAAGCTTGACAGCAGATGAGAGGAGGCATAAGAAGCCTGACGCAGAGAATCTGGTGGTTATGAGCAATGGTTGTGGTCATC